TAACGTTAATTGATACTGCGGCTTTTAATCCGGTGCGGCTTTTGGTCGTGAAAATACGGTATGTAATTAAACCATTTAATTTAAATAATTGCTGGATTATATTTTACAATTACATTTGGGTTTTGTTTGGAAAGAGTGCACAGGTTTCTGAATAAACAAACTATTGGGATCTTTCCTTTGAGCTGCTTTAAAATTATATATCATCTTACCTATTTCTAGCTTTATCTGTGTAATTTAGGAAGCTTTAAATTGAGAAAGGATGGCTTATTGTACATATTTCTTGGCTGTAGCCTGTATTACAATTTTTGTATGTAACCTAGTAAATATCCCTCAAGCATTTACTTCGGTTTCCTATCTAGAATAGAATATACAACAGGAAGATGGATCTTCCATTAAAACCTATTTAAATATATGAAAGAATTATTTCAGTTTGGAATAAATAATTGGAACAGAAAAAACTTAGCAGACAATATTTTTGGTGTCTTGAATATGAATTCCTAAATGTTTTGTATATATCCCTGAATGAACCTTATGTAGCTGGAAAAGAATAATAAAACTACATACAGTACATATTAATGCTTACTGGTTTGTGTATTCCTATGAATATCTTCACTGATAATTTGTATTTCTGGACAAAGGGTACCAGATGATAAACCATTGTGTGATATTTTGAAGACATATATTGATCCTCAAGAATCTGATCCTGTCAAGCGCCAAAGGTACTTTCTTTTACAAAACAGTTGTATGTTCTATTATTTCTATTATTTCAGTACATTAGTACAATATATTAATATTTTTCAGTTGGATTCTCTTGCTGAATCAACATATTTTTTTAAAAAAGTTTCTGTATTTTTCATTATATGATAAGATTTCTTAAATGTTACCTTTTTATTGCAGATTAAAAATCTACACAATATCTCCCCAGTCAGACATACAAATTTTGATGAAAGTAGAAAATAGGCCACATAATTCTATCAGGTAAGAATGTTACTCTTATTGTTTATTAAAGGGAACTGTATATATACTGAGCTTGCAGATAATCAGTTGGTTAGCTATGAGCTGATTAGAAATTGGATTTTGTAGAAAGAGAGATTCAACACAGGGAGCCGAGGTGGCGCAGTCGTTAGAGTGCAGTACTGCAGCTACTTCAGCTGACTGCTAGTTGCAGTTCGGCGGTTCAAATCTCACCGGCTCAGGGTTGACTCAGCCTTCCATCCTTCCGAGGTGGGTAAAATGA